TCATTACCCGGGGAGGTCGTTTGACAACAATTTGCCTAACACCGGCTTAGAACATTGTGGGGCGACTTCTTAAGTCCAAACGGCGGCCTTCCCCCATGGAGGAACTCTGTCACACACGACTTTCCTCATTGGCACAAATCCTACAACAAGATCTTGTGGGATGTTGAGGTTGTCGAGACCTTCCCGATGCATCATCGTACACAATCAGATTCTATATTCTTCAAATCAAGATCATCAGTTTCTACAGTAATTTATCCTTGAAATTTGACATATATGTTGCCGCAGATGAACATAATAATAGTAAAAAAAAACCAAGTTTGATGCAACAGCATACACCTAAAAATTCATTTTGTGAAGAGCAAGATATGTTTAATGGTTTCAGAGTTTTGAAAATACATAAAGGAGGTAATGAGTGTGTATCAAAAAAATTAAAGCTGGGAACAGACAGATGATTCATAGTTGGCAACGTAATCCAATGAAATGCGATTCCCTCCAGGTTGTTAAACTAACCTGTCCATTCAAGTAGATTTTGTCATTTATCCCATAGATGAACTGCCCTCCATGGTTGCACTTTATGGAAAAAAGGTTGACTGTTGGTCTGTTAAATAGAAACACACATAAATGTGTAGGATTCGAGCAAAACAAAAACAGATTTAGCGTAGTTAAATAAAATAAACAATTTAAAATAGAGACATACACCATATCTCTATGGAAGCGTTGGTTCTTCGAGCGACATTTTTCAAGGCCTTAAAATTCAAAAATTTGAGCAGGAAAAATGTACTAGAGCACATGGGTTTCAGGATTTATTAAAAAATGAAAAAAATTGTTTTTAAAAATTTTTTTAATAACGGATTTATTGAAAAATGCTTCTTACTTGTCACTCAACTTTAGATTTTTGCACTCCATCACTCACTAGACGGACACCGTTTCTTTTCTTGCTTACGTGGATGACGGAATTAATACGTGGCATTTAACTCCGTTAATAATTTAAATGAGATGCCTAACGTGGAGGATAAGTCAGCGAATCGTGTCTCACCAAAAAAAAAGCCCCTTATCCCTTCATCAAAACGTCCCCAATTGAAATGAAACCAACAGAAAGAAATGTCCTCAATTGAAATAAGCCTAAGCCCCAAATCCGAACTTGATGTTACGGCTGCCAAGAGAAGTAAAGGATGTGCATCTTCTCCGACGTCAAGCTCGTGCATCTTCTCCAGTGTTGAGAACAAATCCGAGGCTTAAGGTTTTGATTTGTTTTGAGGTTTATGCTGTCTCGGATTAGTATGTTTATGTGGAAAGGAAAAACTTTATAGCGCTTGTTTTGGTGTCTACATCAATAAATACATCAGGATTTTCTGTTTTGACATAAATTCAAATTTGAAAGTATTTTATGATTCTCGAAGAACCAGGATTTGCGAGAAATGAGGGGCAAACTGCTCGTAGCAGAAACAACAACAAATCATGGGGTGTTTCAAAGTGGATTTCATTGCAAAATCTTTAATGGAGAATAAACATTAGATTACCATCTAACTTATTGTAAGTAATCAGGGGGAAAATTGTCTTCTTATTTTTTCTGGACGTGTTCACGTAGATTATTAGAGCTTTGGCGTGTATCGTCTAATTTGATGTTTTTATATTGCATCATTTGATATTTGCTCGTTGAGAAAAGCCAAAAAAAAAAAAAAATTCATATAATCATCCCGTCATATGAAATATTATCTTGAATTTAGGCTAAATTTATTCTATTAGCTTCTGTAATTTCAATTTTTTCTTTTCAAGTCGTCGTGCATTCCATGTATTTGGTAACTAATGGAGTACGAACCATCTTTTGATCTGAATTTAAATTTGTACGATATTTTTAGTTCCAAGATTTGTCGTCTTTGAAATGCATTTTTTTCTTAACGTCACAAACAAGAGCTTGACAGAAGCAGAATTAGTAGCACTGCTTGAATAGGTTCGAGAAGAGAAGAAACTCGTGCCTGGTGTTGGTGTTTTGCAAAATAGCCGAGAAATTTTGAGTTGGAAACTGTTGATGTACAGGTAGTTTTCTAAAGAACCACCATGATGCTAAAGAATCTGATATGAATGAACCATGAATGGCTGTTCAACCATGAATAGTAATGAATGGGACTATATAGATTTCAAGACAATTTGTATTTATATAGTAATGAACCATTAATGGTTGTTCAACTCATTGTTTCCTGAATGAAATGGTAAACTTGCAGCAAACGGCAACAGGAATGTGAAATGCGTGCTCTAGACCATATGCAGGAATGATATTGCAATCTGGGCAATAGTCCCACCATTAACTTGTATGTCCATCAAGTGTGCCTAATTCTGTTTTAGCCCTTCACCAAATGTGAAAGTTCACACTTCAATTAATGGATAATTCAACACAAAAAATATCAGATTCATATGCCACAAGCCACATGTCAAATGACCTCAAATTCATATATCAAATTCTAACTAAAACAGAGCGACCTTCTAAGTGATGCTCGCATCAATGTCACAAGCCATTCGTAATTCTAAAACAATTGCCGAAAAGCCAAACTTACGAATATAGAATGAAACATAAAAAATACAGAGATCAAACACCAAAGTAGCTTAAAGATGAAATTAGCTGCATCCATGTTGTCTTCCTCAGGCGCCATCATATCCTCAACCATGTTGTATTTAGAAATACAGAGATCAAACTCTTTATGTTCATCTTCAACTTCACAGTCAAGGCCATCATATCCTATTCAATCCCTTCAGTCACATTACGTTCATAAAACATGTTGTATTCCTCAGACGCCAAGTCGTTCTCAAAATCTATGAAGTCTGGATCATTCCCGTACTGTGTCATAAAATGAAGGTACAACAGAAGTCTCAGATAATGACTATACTGAATATGGATTCGCTGAATTCTCAAAAGAAACATATTATAGAATTCGTAAGAAATTAACGTCACAACATGAGGAAAAATAAGCATAATTTTTGGAAACATATTCTTGCAAACAGATTATGTGCATGGTTAGCGATTGAATATGATCATTGTCGATAAAAACTGGAAAAATTGGGAGCCTGCAATTAACTTCTGAAATTCTGGAGAAACAGGCCAAAAACCATTCTCAAACACTACCATTGTCCATTTTCATTGCCTTATGTACTGAACTAACTCCAAATGTTAAAACAGTATTTTTGCCTTAAAGCAGAATACGCATTCAATTTTAACAACACTTTAGCAGAGCAGTAAATCATAGCATATAAGCAACTTTAAAGGAAATTATTCATCACAATCATCTACCCATCTTCCATCACTATAAACAAATCAAGAAACCCCCAATAAATGGAAAATGAAAGAGAGCTCACCACAGGAAGTTTAAAATATGTTAAAATGGTATCACAAAATGGTTTCATAATTAACTTCATTTGGTCCCTCCTTGTGCCCGAGCTCGACGTCGGAGAAGATGCACAGCCTTCGCTTCTTCTGTCAGCCGTAAGGCCCGTAACTTCATGTTCGGATTTGGGGGCGTCGATTTGGTGCTTAGGGTTATTTTAATTGGGAACTTCTCTTTTCTACTGATTTCGTTTCAATTGGGGACGTTTTGAAGAAGGGATAAGGGGTGTGTTTTGGTGAGACATGAATTGCTGACTTGTCCTCCACATTGGCATCTCATTTAAATTATTGACGGAGTTAAATGCCGCGTATTAATTTCGTCATCCACATAAGCGAGAAGAAAAAGGGTATCCGTCTAGTGAGTGATGGAGTGCAAAAGTTTAAAGTTGAGTGGCCAATGGGAAGCATTGTGAAGTTCGGTGAGTAAGTCGTGACATTAGCCAAAGTTCAGTGACCAATGAAACATTTAACTCCAATTACAACACTTTTCAATTACTAGAGTGAGATATGAACCAAAATAACAAAATTAACCATTAACAAGTACGCCTACCTTCAGAGCGCATCATTAAGCTGTAATTTCTCTAATGCATCACGTAACTCGGAAAATCTATGGCAATCAAAACAAACTGTTGACACATAAAATATTCAGCTTAATTCAAATAGCCCAAGAGAGGTAATGGCCCAAGAGAAGAAGCCCATCTAGAGAGATCAGGGTAAAAGCCCAACCAGAAATGTCATTAAATATGATGAAAGCCCAAAAACAAAGGTACGTCGTCGCCCAAGCCTGCAGAACGCCCAAATATTGAGCGAAT